CGCGGGCCCAACGGGCTGCCGCTCGCTCGCCAAAGGGCTGCGCCGCCGCTGCCTGTGAGGGTTGGAGTGGGACCACGCTGATGCCCTCCGCTGATGCGGCTCCCCCATCCAACCACTGCCGCTGGTGCTGATGCTGCTGCCTCAGATGCGACTCCCAGTCCAGCCCCTGCGGGTCCGCCATCTGCGTTGCCTCGGGGCCCTGGTTGGTCGCCACCGTCGCTCTCGTACTGGCTGAGGCGCGCGTAGGCGTAATGGGTGCACAGATCCATCCACTCAGCCTTATCCTGCCCCATGTCCAAGGAGTGCAGGTTCGGGGGCCATCCACGGCTTAAGCGCTGGAGGGTTCGACGCACCGCTGCTGCGCCGACGCCAATGGTGCTCCACCCCCCCATGGGCGAAGTGTGGGGAATGGCTGCGCACGTGGCTGGTGCCTGCGGCTCAGTAGCGAGGCCCGAGCTGCCGCGGCCGTCGCCCTCGATCCCGTCGCCCCCAGGGTCCACCCCTGCGAAAGCGATGGGGGCTCCTGGCAGGTGCCTGCTGTACTCCCCGTTCTCCTCCGGCCACCTCCTGGACTCGTGGTAGTTGTCCACGGTCCTGTGTACTTCCTCTTCCCATCCGCGATGCTCGATGAGGCCAAGCTGGCGAAGGATGCGCGCCAGCTCCAGACGCCCAGGGCCCCCGCGCCGCCATGCCGAGGAACGCGCCTCGCGGGCCGTGCGCACGCGCCTGTCGAAGTCCTGGGCGAGACCTGTGGCGACGTACGTCGGCAGGCCCAGCATGCGGAAGATGAAGGGCGCGCGCTTCGCCATCCACTCGCCCTCGTCCCAGTAGTTGTTGGGGTTACTGGGGTTTGACGCCCAGCTGCGGGCGCGCCTTCCCAGGGCGCGTTTGAGGCGATTCAAGGCCCTAGTCTGCGTGCGCTCGGCCTCTCTCGTCTCGGGCTCCATCTTCACCTCGGAGTGGCCGCCTGGAAACCGGTCTCCTGAGCCCCCGCCGACGAGAAACCTCAACTGCGTGAAGTAGTCGCTGAGGTGCATCAGCTTCTTGCCCCTGAAGCTGGCCTTGGGGCCCTTGATGGGCCTCGCGCGCGCCTGGTAGCCGCAACTGAAGCACGGCGGGCCCCCTCGACCACGGTAGAAACTGGCGCCCTCGGGTTCAATCTGGTACGCCCACACTAACTCGTCCTCCACGCTCTCGCACAGGGCCTGGTACGCCTCGCTAAGGGCCTGCATGTCGCTGCCCATGTCGATCTGCGCCCTCACGGGGCTGTGGTCCCACTGCTTCTCTAGCATGGGTCCGAAGGGCCTCGCCTTGGGAAGCGCCATCGGCCCCTTGACCCTGAACGACTGGCCGAGCTCGCCGTAGCAGGTGAGGCTGAGCTGGGCTGCCATGTGGGGCCTGCACGGTTTGGCGTACCACTTGGCCGTCATGTCGAGGCGCGAGCAGTCCACGACACGGTCCAGCATCTCGGCGCTGACGATGAACCATTCGAGCTCGGACGGCTCCTTGGCAAGGGAGTGCTGGCAGGTGCCCTCGCCCGTGTCGACTACGTGCCCCCTATCTTGCAGAGCCAGTTGCCCGCGCGCTGGTGGAACCTGTCGGGCTCGACGTTCCAGTCGCCAGCGAGGACCCACGGCTTGCCCGTGCGCTTGAGGAGCGCGCCAACCTCCTGCAGCACGTACTTACTGTTCTCGCCGACGTCATCGTTGTCCAGGTAGATCGAGCCCAGCAGGAAGCCGCCAGGCACTACCCCGCTGATGTGTGTAACCGTGGCCCTGCCGTCGGCGACTTGGCAGCTGGACTTGCTGCCCTGCGCGCCTGGGCCACGCATGCCGCGTGCTGTGCGCACGGCAGCGCCAGTGCCGCCGTTGACGGCGCGCTGCTGCGACGCGCCCATGGTGCCGACGCTGGGGGTCAGCACAGCGCTCCAGCCCACTTGCCTGCGCCACTGCTCCCGCTCCTCGGCGCGGTAGCCATTGAGGTGGTGCTCCTGGAAGCACATCGCGTCGCCGATGTGGGCCTCGGCGACCTCCTGCTGCTGGGGGTCCTGCTGCGCGCCAAGGATGGTAGTGGAGGGGCCCCAGCCGCTGCCGTTGAGGCTGACTACCGTAAAAATGGGCCTGCTACCCCCGCTTCCCCCTTCTCCTGATCCCCGCGGACCGAAGGCCTTGGGGGGGCTTCTGGGCCCGCTGCTTGCGTTTGGCGGCAGCCTGCTCCGCGGGGTCTGCGGCAGGGGGACCGCCGCCGCCCTCTCCGCCAGCGCCGTCCGAGGCGTCCTCCTCCGAGGCGTCTTCCCCCATGCTTTCCAGGATGTTGGAGATGTCAGCCTCGTCGATATCCTGCTCTTCACCGCCGTCGCGTTCGACCGCGGCTCCTGCTGTTGCCACCCGTTCCGCCAGGCGGCGGAGCTCGGCGCTCTGGCCCTCCCACTGCTCGGCGAAGCCAGGGGCGAGCATGCCAGAGGCCTGGTTGAGCGCCGCCGGGAGCGCGGTCGCCCGCTCGCCTTCGCTGAGCGGTGCGCCAGGAGAAGCGGGGGCGGCCCCCCCCCGCCGAGCGCAGCCTCGCGAGGGGGGCCGCCCCGTTCGCGGAGCTGCTTGGCCAGGAGATTGTCGATGAGCGCCTGCAGCTCCTTCTCGGTGGCCTTGCTCTGCTCGCGCTTGCCCTCCAGCTCGAGCTTCTGGCCCTGGAGATCTGAGATCTGCTTGGTGGCGGCCGCGATCTTGCTCCCCAGCGCCTCGGTGGTGCTCTGCTGGTTCTTCTGCTTGCGTTCCAGCTCGCTGAGCTGGACCGATGTGGGCTTGGCCTCGGCGAGCTCGTGTTCCAGCTGTTGCGCTTGCTGACGCTTAACCTCCACGATCGCCTCTGCGCCTACCACCCCATCGAGCCGTTTGATCTCGCTGCGTAGCTTCCCCAGACGGCGGACGCGGTCTGTCTTCTCCGCAGACTGCGGCCCACCGGCTGCCGCTGCTGCTCCGCCTCCGTCGCCGCCCTGGCCTGGGGACTGACTGTTCTCCAGCTTCTTGACCTTCCTGCGCAGCTGGTTGAGCTCATGGCGTTCTTTGGCGTCCGGTTGCGACATGCCACTCCGCCATGAGCTTGTCCCAGAGCCGCTTTCCCACCAGTCATATCCACAGCTGCGACAGACGCGCCTGGAGCCCCAGTTCTTCTTGGCTCCGCGCTTCGGGCAGTCCCAGACCCTCGGGGCGCCGCCGCCACCGCTGCCTGATTGCTGACCACCCCGTCGTCCTCGACCGCTGCCTCCTCGGCCGCCGCCTCCGCGCGCGCCGCCTCGATCACCACCTCCGAGTCCTGCCATTGGTCGAGCCCGCCGCGGCTGGGCTCCCAGTCGGGCGACTGGGGCCGAGTGTCGGAAAGGTCATGGATATGAAAGAGCTGTGGCCTCTGAGGCCTCGCTGAAAGCTTGGTCGAATTGGAATCTGACCCAAGAAGAGACGCGACGGCAAGAGCCAGCCACATGGGACCAGACATCTGCCCTGATCGCGCCATCTTGAGCCAAAATGGCTTGAACCAAAATGGCTACGGATGATGATGATGTTGATGATCATGATCATGATCATGCTGATTATGATCATGCTGATGCTGATGCTGATGCTTCTGCTGCTGATGATGATGCTGTTGCTGATGCGGTTGCTGATGCTGATGATGATGATGATACTGGTAATGCTGATGATGATGCTGCTGCTGATGATGCTGATGATGATGATGCTGCTGATGATAATGACGATTCGGATGGTGTGGATGACCAGGAAGATGATGATGATATGGATAATGAGGAGGACGAGCGGGAGGAGGAGGAGGAGGAGGTGCTTGAGGAGGAGGAGGAGGAAGGGTTTGGTATAGGATGGGAGAAGAAGAGGAGGAGGTGTGCAGAGGAGGGCGGAGGAGGGTGATGGACTGATGAGCAGGGAGGAGCAGATGGGTGCGAGGAGGAGGAGGAGGACCAGTGTAAACCCAAGAGTCATCAACGCTGTTGGAATACAACCTCCCTCCAAGCTCTTCATCGGCCCCCGCAACGGTTCATTTCCACTGAGGGAACTGCCTCGTTGGAAGACAACCGTTTGACGACACTGAAGCATGCCAAAACATTGTTCTTGGTATTCCAACTCCACGGATCAACCTGACTGATGCGTATTGACAGTCCTGAATTGTGCCAGAACGCCGTTCTTGGGACTTCAGCACCGCGAACACACGTAACTTTTGCACCCTCATAATCTGGAATCCGTCCAACACACCATTTCTGGTATTTTGATCATGGGGATTCGCGAAACATTTGCAGTTCTTAAAACGGATTTGCGCGGCGTTACGGCGAGAGCCACATTTTGAAAAACACCCGCCCTCAATCCGTGAAGCTCTGGCAATGGTTTGAAAACGAATGTGCGCGGCGCTAAGGCGAGAGCCACATTTTGAAAACGGGTTCCCCTCAATTCGTGAAGCTCTTGCAGTTTTTTCACAACGAGTGTGCGCGGCGCTACGGCGAGAGCCACATTTTGAAAACCACCCGCCCTCTATCCGTGAAGCTCTCGAAGTTTCTTGAAAACGAACGTGCGCGGCGCTACGGCGAGAACCACATTTTGAAAACGACCCGCCCTCCATCTGTGGAGCTGTTGCCAATTTGAAGTTTCAGGGTCATAAATGGTGAGGACGTCTCAGGCGAAATGCCAGGCCCGCCCTAAAACTGGCCTCGGGGTGCGACAGGGAGAAGTTATTTAGAAGGAAGAGGAATGGAGGAGGAGGGGGAGGAGGAGGAGGTGGAGGTGGAGGAGGAGGAGGAGGAGGAGGGGGAGGAGGAAGGAAAAGGAGAAGAAGAAGAAGGAGGTGAAGGAGGAGAGGGAGAAGGAGAAGGACCGAAAGCAAGGGCTGAAAGAAGAGGGTGGTGATGTTGGGGTGGCCGCGCGACGTGGGAGGAAGGTGCCCTAGGATCCTGCTTCGGGCCAGGGGCTGGACAAAACCAGGCCTAGACGGCGCGCGGCCCCGCCGGAAGCGCCCGGCAAGGCAGCCTCGTGCTGCGGGCCAGCCCGCAAGAGCCCAACGGGGACCGCGGGGGGCCCTACGGCCAGCTGTGGGCCTCGGACCACCAGGACAGCGACTGGGATTCCTCCGAGGCTGTGGCCCGAGGGAGCAGGAGGAGGAGGAGCATAGTCGTGGTGATGATGATGATGATGATGATGATGATGATGATGATGCTGCTGATGCTGATGATGATGATGATGACGATGATGATGCTGATGACGATGATGCTGATGATGACGATGATGCTAATGATGATGATGATAATGATGATGGTGGTGGTGGTAGTGATGATGATGCTGCTGATGATGCTGATGATGATGCTGATGCTGCTGCTGCTGATGATGATGATGATGCTGCTGCTGATGACGATAAGGGTGGTGGTGATGGTGATGGTGGTGGTGGTGGTGGTGGTGGAGATGGTAATGCTGCTGCTGCTGACGACGATTATGATGATGGCCATCATGGTGATGATGCTGATGATGATGACGATGATGACGATGATGATGATGGTGGTGATGATGCTGAGGATGATGCTGATGATGAGGAGGACGAGGAGCAGGAGGAATAGTTTTACGGCCGTTAGAAGGAGCGGCATGCGTACTACCTTGTTCCGAGCCCTCATCCCCTCCACCCTCCTACATTTGTTCATGTCTCCTCACTGCTCCTTCCTCCTTCGTATGTCTCCCCCCCCCTCCGTATCTCCCTCCTTCCGTCTCTCTCCTCCCGCCTCCTGCTTAGCCCAGAGGGTTATTGATCCATACGAGGCGGCAGTCTCGGCCACGGCCGATTTCTCGTCCTCGCTTCTCCTCCTTGTACTGTCTCTCCCCGCTTTACAACCAGGTAGCCAGGGCCTTGAAACCGAAAAGGGGTTTTCACGTTCTTACAGTACTGCCTCAAGCTAGAGCCAGATTAACATGCACAGCCGTGTTCTTGCCGATACGCTAGTGATGAAGGTGCAAGTTCCTATAGAGGCGGCAGCGTATTTGCAACGATCAGCATGAGAGGTATGATACCAGCTAGCACTGAACATGCTGGTAACCGAAGCACCACCTGATGTGCACACGAGTCGCCTTTGAGCAATGTTTGAAGCATCTTGCTGGCTGTTTCCGCATGCTGCTAATTCCCGTCATCGTTCACCTAATTGTCTTTGACCCTGTCATCGTCGTCCTCCTCGTCCTCCTCCTCCCACCCCTCCGCTCTCCTAGCCTCCCTCCTAACCTCCCTCCTCCTTGCCCTCCCCCTCCACCCGCCTCTTCTGCTGCAGCTCCTCCTCCTCTTCCTCCTCCTTCTCGGAGGAGGAGGAGAAGGAGGAGGAGGAGGAGGGGGAGTCACGACGATGAGGAGGGGGAGGAGCGAGGAGGAGGAGGAGGAGAAGGAAAGGAGGAGGAGGAGGAGGACCCAGAGGGCATCGGTGCTTCGACGCGAACTCGTCCGCATCACCGAGTTACCGAGGAGGAGGAGGAGGAGGAGTAGGAGGAGGAGGAGGCTGTCAGCTCTCTCTCTCTCTCTCTCGCTCTCCCTCGCCCGTCCCCGTCCTCTGTCTCGTCTTCGTCCCAATCTGCCTGGCTGCCGCTGTCTCGCCTCGCTTTGGATCGGGGTGGTCTTGTCCGCCGAGGAGGTCGTGGGAGCTTTCTGCACTGACGTTTGCTCTGCCGAGGGGCGGCAGCGGCGCCTATAGCCGGTCTCGGGGGGCGTGCGCCTGGAAATCTTTGTTCGCTTGGGTTACCTGAATGCAGTGATGTCTCGTCTGCTCGGAGGACACGCGCGATCCTGCGGCGCTAAGGCGAGAGCCACATTTCGCAAACGGCCCGCCCTCCATCGGTGAAGCTGTTGCAGTTTGCAAGCTTCAGGACCATACATGGTGAGGACATCTCCTGCGAAACGCCCGGCCCGCCCTCCCGGCACGTCTGGGTGGTGCGACAGGGAGGGGATGTTTAGAGGGACGCGGGATGGGCGAGGAGGTAACGAGGAGGAGGGGGGGGAGGGGTAGTGGCGAGGTGAGTGAGAGGGGAAGAGGCGGGGGGGCGGGGCGGGCGGGGCGATGTGGCCTCCCGTGCCGAGGCTCAGCCCTCTCCTCCTGCCCTCCCCCTCCCTGCCGCTCCAGGGGAGAGGCGGGGCGAGGGGCGAGGGTCGAGGGCCTCGAGCCCCTCCCAGGCGGGGGCCGCCCACATGCAGGACCCGCTGATCGAGGCGCCAGCTGCGTCGTTGCCGTCGCCGTCGTCGCCCTTCTCCTCGCCCTCCTCCCCTTCGTCCTGGTCCTCGACCTCGTCTCCGTCTTCCTTCCTCGTTTTCAATATCTTTGTCCTTCTCCTCCTCCCCATCCTTCCCCTCTCCCCCTCCCCCTCTCCCTCGTCCATCGCCCCATCCTCCTCGTTTTGTTGAATTCTCATTTCTGAAGAATAATTATTGTTGATCCCCCCCGTCCGGTGCACATTGTTTTTTCTCGATTGAAGTCGGGTCGGGTCGACGGTCCGCGGCCGCCCCGCCGATCAGCGCTGCCGCTGGCCAGGCCGACGGTCCGCGGCCGCCCCGCCGCTTGCCAGGGCCCGGCCTGCAGGGAAGAAAGATATACCCACCAAAAGTGGTTCGATCGAAGACGAAGAGGGCGGGTATCGAGGGTTTGGGAAATACGCGTTATTGGACACTCGAGCAGATAAGGGCGAACAGTCTTAAAATGATTATTGTTGTTGTCGTCGTCGTCGTTGTTGTTGTTGTCGTCGTTGTTGTCGTTGTTGTCGTTGTTGTTGTTGTTGTTGTTGTTGTTGAACATTATTTCTTCTTAAGAATAATTATTGTTGGGCCCCCTGGTGCGCGCCCCCCCTGCGCCGCCTAGGCCGCAGCTACATTTTCATCATTTTCGTGAGGAAGCCTCAGGAAAAGATGTGTCCAGATCCGGTTGTTTTGTTGTAATCCGTTTTCCCTTGCAAAAAACACTATAAAATGACATTTCTTGTTCTAATATAATCAAATTTCAAGAATCCCTTGCAAAAAATAAGGTAAAGTGGACATTCGCGCGCGCAAGACGAAATCCTTCCAAAAGCTTAGTGTTCGGAGCGATTTTAACATAAAAACATCAAAAAACCAATGGTTTTTCAACAAAAAAATGTCAAAATCTCATCCCGCGCGCTCTTGCGGATTCGTAGGAAACCCAACACTTTTTAAACATTTCTGTCAAACGGGCTTTTGCGAGCAACTTTTTCGAACTTCTGCAACAACGGTTGCGCACCTGCCAGGGCCATCATCCCTGTCAAATAATACCATGCGGGACACATTCGTTTTTTCTTCGCGCGCGCACGCCGTCGTCGTCGGCCGCGGGGCCCTGAATAGTAGCCACGGTCGTCCGCATGCCACGAAGTGAAGTGTCCGAACGTCATAGGGCGGGAAGCTGGGTGTGGGTGGTGGCGAAGAGTCGTTTGGAAATTTGGTAGAGCTTGAACCGGCCCCCCCACAAAGTGGGGGTATTGCCCGCCTCCTATGAAAACCCTGGCACTGGTGAGAACGGAGTGTCCCCACGTGCTAGTAATTGTTGTTGTTGTTGTTGTTGTTGTTGTTGTTGTTGTTGTTGTTGTTGTGTTGTTGTTGTTTGTTGTTGTTGAACATTATTATTCTAAAGAATAATTATTGTTGGGCCCCCTGGTGCACGCCCCCCCTCGCCGCGCCTAGGCCGCAGCTACGTTTTCATCATTTTCGTGAGGAAGCCTCAGGTAATTCGATGTCATCCAGATCCGGTTGTTTTGTTGTAATCCGCTTTCCCTTGCAAAAAACACTATAAAATGACATTTCTTGTTCTAATATAATCAAATTTCAAGAATCCCTTGCAAAAAATAAGGTAAAGTGGACATTCGCGCGCGCAAGACGAAATCCTTCCAAAAGCTTAGTGTTCGGAGCGATTTTAACATAAAAACATCAAAAAACCAATGGTTTTTCAACAAAAAAATGTCAAAATCTCATCCCGCGCGCTCTTGCGGATTCGTAGGAAACCCAACACTTTTTAAACATTTCTGTCAAACGGGCTTTTGCGAGCAACTTTTTCGAACTTCTGCGACAACGGTTGCGCACCTGCCAGGGCCATCATCCCTGTCAAATAATACCATGCGGGACACATTCGTTTTTTCTTCGCGCGCGCACGCCGAAATCTCCAAAAACCATTGGGTTCTGTGGGTGTGTACCCCACGCCAGTGTAGTAGCCACGGTCGTCCGCACGCCACGAAGTGAAGTGTCCCAACGTCATAGGGCGGGAAGCTGGGTTTGGGTGGTCGCGAAGAGTCGTTTGGATATTTGGTAGAGCTTGTAATGCCCCCCCACGAAGTGGGGGTATTGCCTGGTGTCGTATGAAAACCCTGGCACTGGGGAGAACACCACGCGTTCGGGTAAAATGATTGTTGTTGTTGTTGTTGTTGTGTTGTGTTCTGTTGTTGAGGTTGTTGAGGTTGTTGTTGTTGTTGTTGTTGTTGTTGTTGTTGTTGTTGTTGTTGTTGAATTCTCATTTCTGAAGAATAATTATTGATGATCCCCCCCACCGGTGCATACTGTTTCTCTCAATCAAAGTGTGCCCCTCGACGCTCGCACCCTGTTTTTTGACAGGGACAGTCTTCCTGCTCAAACTGGGCCCCTGGCCCCCGGGTTGCAACAACAACGGCTCCCGCCTGAGACGTCCTTACAATTTAGCCAGGACCCCCGCTCCTGCCCGAGACTTCTTCGCATTTTATTATTGAATCGCGCTCTCGCTTGGGACTTCCTTGCAATTCATTCAGGAATCGCTCTCCCGGCGCTCTGGAGCCGCGCTCTCGCTGGAGACTTGCTTGCAACTTACGGAAGAATGGCCTTGCGTTGGAATTTCCTGCAATTTGCCCAAGCGCCGCGCTCCCGACACCCAGGCACCCAGGAGTCGCGCCCGTTGTGGCCCCATGTGCATGCCCTTCGTGGCCCCGCTGTCGCCATTTGTGTTCCCCTCACTGTCCTACGTGGCCCAGTTGCTACCCTCAGTGGCCCCATAGTTGCCTTCTGTGGCCCCGCATTATCTGCACTTCGTGGCCCCCGCTCGTTCGCGCTCTTCGTGGCCCCATACGCATTCCCTTCGTGTCCCCGCTGTCGCCCTTCGTGGCCTACTTCGTGCCCTTCGTGGCCCTGCTGTCGTTCTCTCTCGCTCTCGCCTCGCTCGTCGTCGCCGTCGCCGTCGTCGTCGCCGTCGCCGTCGTCGTCGTCGTCGTCGTCGTCGTCGTCGTCGTCGTGGTCGGTCCCCTGTCCGTCCCTCTTGGGGTCGGGTCGACGGTCCGCGGCCGCCCCGCCGATCAGCGCTGCCGCTGGCCAGGCCGACGGTCCGCGGCCGCCCCGCCGCTTGCCGGGGCCCGGCCTGCAGGGAAGAAAGGTATACCCCCCAAAAGTGGTACGATCGAAGACGAAGAGGGCGGGTATCGAGGGTTTGGGAAATACGCGTTATTGGACAGTCGAGCAGATAAGGGCGATCAGTCTTAAAATTGTTGTTGTTGTTGTTGTTGTTGTTGTTGTTGTTGTTGTTGTCGAATTCTCACTTCTGAGAAATAATTATTGTTGATCCTCCCCGTCCGGTGCACATGGTTTTTTCGATTGAAGTGCCCTTCCCGGGGCTCGCACCTTGTTTTTATTAGGGAAAGTCTTGAGGGTCAAACTGTGTCGTTGGCCCCCGGTTTACAACAACAGCGGCTCCCGCCTGAGACTTCCTCCCAGTTTAGCCAGGACCCCAGCTCCCGCCCGAGACCTCCTCGCAATTTATTCAGGAATCGCGCTCTCGCTTGGGACTTCCTTCCAATGTATTTAATCGCTTCGCTCATTCCGCCGGCCTTGGAGCCCTCTTTAGGGCCTCTTGGGGGCCTCTTGGGGACCTCTTGGGAGTCTCTTGAGGCTCCTTGGCGGCGTCTTGGGGGCCCCCAGGGGTCGGAAAATGGCCCTCTCCTGGAGTGCTCTGGTGGCTTCTCCCGGGACCTTGCCAGGGTACTTTTCGTCCGGGGCCCCCAGGGGCCGCTCCGCGCGCGCGAACTAGAAATATTGTTAACCAGTTGCCGGAGATCTTAGCACGCCTCTGGCCCGTTGGGCCGGCGCTCTGGGGTCGCGCTCTCGCTGGAGACTTGCTTGCAATTTACTGAAGAATAGCGTCCTTGCGTTGGAAAGTCTTGCAATTTACTCAAGCGCCGCGCTCCCGACACCCAGGCACCCAGGAGTCGCACTCACGTTTAGGACCCCCTCACAGATTACCAAAGAATCGGTATCTCGCTGCCCTTCGTGGCCCCGTTGCAGCCCTTCGTGGCCCCCTCGCTTTGTTTCGTGGCCCCGTTGCAGCCCTTCGTGGCCTCCTCGCTGCCCTTCGCGGCCCCGTTGCAGCCCCTCGTGGCCTCCTCGCTGCCCTTCGTGGCCCCGTTGCAGCCCTTCGTGGACCACTCGCTTTGTTTCGTGGCCCCGTTGTAGCCCTTCGTGCCCCCTCGCTGCCCTTCGTGGCCCCGTCGCAGCGCTTCGTGGCCCCGTTGCAGCCCTTCGCGGCCCCTTCGCTGCCCGTCGTGGCCCCTTCGCTGCTTTTCGTGGCCCCATATATGCATGCCCTTCGTGGCCCCCGCTCGTTCGCGCCCGTGGTGGCCCCATATGCATGCCCTTCGTGGCCCCGCTGTCGCCCTTCGTGGCCCCCTCGCTGCCCTTCGTGGCCCCGTTGCTGCTCTCAATGGCCCCGTCCTCGCCCTCCGCGGCCCAATATCCGTATGCACTTCGTGGCCCCCGCTCGTTCGCGCCGGTTTTGGCCCCATGTGCATGCCCTTCATGGCCCCGCTGTCGCCGTTTGTGGCCCGTCACTGTCCTACGAGGCCCAGTTGCTACCTTCAGTGGCCCCGTCGTTGCCTTCTGTGGCCCCGCATGATCTGCCCTTCGTGGCCCCCGATCGTTCGCGCCCGTCGTGGCCCCATGCGCATGCCCTTCGTGGCCCCGTTGTCGCCCTTCGTGGCCCCCTTCCTGCCCTTCGTGGCCCCGCTGTAGCCCTTCGTGGCCCCCTCGCTGCCCTTCGTGGCCCTGTTGCTGCCCTCAGTGGCCCCGTCCTTGAGATCCGCGGCCCAGTATATGTATGTCCTTCGTGGCCCCCGCTCGCTCGCGCCCGTGATGGCCCCATATGCATGCCCTTCGTGGCCCCGCTGTCGCCCTTCGTGGCCTACTTCGTGTCCTTGTAGCCCTGC